CTAAATAAAGTCAAGTATTTTGTCATTTCCGGAACCAGATCTTGGGCATGTGTTTGATTTTGTTGCTTGTTAAAATGTAGTTTTTATGCAGTATGTGTGTAATCATACTTATGGTATGATCAGAAAGCCCGTAACTTGAGATTTTATTTTTCAAATATAATAAGGTTTTCTTTTTGACTGTACACACAATCTTCAGGACGTAATCAAGCTTGTTTGAGTAATTCAACTATCCCTAGTCCGAGTTGTGACAAACTGGTGGCGTTTCTTGCAAGGGAATTTCATGAGGATTTCGGCGCAGGCATGCTACGCTTCATACAATTACGCGTAAACGCGAAGTGGCTGATGTAATATTCCTGTTCGATGCAAATATGATGGTTTATTTCTCCTGTGATGGACAGTTTGCGTTGCCCTCTAGACCCCGTGCCAGACGTATGGGCCCACCTCAAAGTGTTTTACGATTTTTTCCCTCGTCAGGTTTATATGACCTTTGACATCCCACAATGCAACACTTTTTGTCACCAAAATGGCGGCTTCCTTAGTTTGGATGCGTCGTTTTTGAAAGGTAGGTGATATCTTTTAGCTTCGATCTGCTTTTACGCAATGCATTTTTTAAATTGGCGCAGTGCAGGCGAAGTATGAGCTATTCAACGGTAATAAAATAAAAGAGAACCAGTGTTTCTTCTGATTCGGAGACTTAGCTGTGATCTGTGAAGAAATGCAGACCAAAAGCGGAGAAATAGATCCCCACCGAAAACACCGCCACCCCGGGAACTATAGGTTGTTATTTTTGTCTCAAGAAATTTAATAATAGAAAAAATTTAAATTCCTGAAAAATCATGTTCATCATCTCACCCGTAAAACAATTATTTGGCAATTCTTTATTACAGTAACAAATTGTGCAGAATTAATACCCTGTGAAAATGTCTTGCTCAAATTTTCCATTGATTTAATATGCATGTACAGTACAGCGTTTGTGCAACTTGTTATTATTGCATCTGCATTTGTACAGTACATTGATCGCATTAGGGGCTGATGAACATTTATTGCATTAGTGTTGTCTATTGATCACATTTCACTGCATTGTGGTCTAAACCATGTCTAAACTTACTCAGTAAAAACACAAACAATGTTACCTGGGCACTTCTATGGTCCATCCCGTTGTATGTGAGATTAATTTTTAATAAAATAAACAAATTACTATCACTGATCCAGTCTGTTTGTCAACCAGTGGAGTGCCAAACAAATCTGATGAGAATATGCGATGCAAATGCGATAAATTAGTGACACAAATATGATAAATGTGTGGCATGATTATCATAAATGCACTGTAGTTGATGAGCAGTTGTCTTTGCCCAATACGCTTTGGAATTTTCTATAAAAAAAACATGGAACCCAATATCAATTATATTCCACCAAAATTTTGCAATGACTGATTTTGTAATTTACATAACTGTTTCAACTTTAGAGATAATACCGTACTTGACCGCGTTAGCGCCCATGCCTGGGCAAGCGCCCATCCCCCACTTTTGCGCAATTTTTATATTTGGGGTTACATTCGGCAAAGCGCCCACCCCTTCAAAATGCAACTAATTTAAAACTTAGTCTTGCGTAACAAATCTTGGTAATCGTTTTTATATGATACAGCGTGGATATTGATCGCTGTGAACATGTTGTGAATGTGTAGAATACGGTAACCGTGTGTAAACTACACTTCGACAATGACTTGTTAATAAAAGTAAAATGCGATAAATATTTCATGCCATATTCAGTTTACCTCTCAAAAATGGCTAGTTACTAGTTTTTTGGAAAAACCATGTCTTTTAGTCGCTGAAATCAATTCCAACAGATCGTACTTCGACATCGATAATTCACTTCCCCATTGTGTTACCGGAAAGTCTTCGGGAATTTCCGAAGAATTGCATCAGTCAAAACATCGCATTCTGATTAGCTAATAACCAACTTGATCCATTAGGTCAAAGGACGCTGCTGTAGGTCAAATCTGCAAATGCATAATGGTGGAAATAATATGACAATTTTGACTTTGACTGTATTCCAACAGACTCAAATGTACGTAATTAATATTGTAATAAAATGTGTGTATTTTTTGTGATCATTTCTGTTTCTTCATTTGAGGGAAAATCAATGACGACGCAACTAATTTAGTAATTTGATTTTCCCTCAAAGACGTAATTTGTCACTTGATGAATAAAAATGTTCATTTGCACTCTTTTTCGAGGGGGGTGCTCGGGTAAGCGCCCACGCCTAAAAAAATCGTGATTTTCTGAGTTGAGGCCCCTGGGCGTTAACGTGGTCAAGTATGGTAATAGTAAAAAATTACCAGTTGCCTCAAAATAAAAAAAAAGGATTTGATTTTTTCCAGTATATTCCATGACTATTTATTATTTCAACAGCATCTTTTATTTTATTTTTCAAGTTCATGTCCCATTGAATGAGCATACTGTTACAATAAGTTTTTCCATTCTGATCAGGGTTTGTATTCATATTTATTTTTTTTCCATGAACTTCATGAAATACAGTTTTCCAAAACAATACAAATGTCACCTTTGTATTATCGTCTTTAATTTTGCTAAATACCTACGCATGATAGTTGTACTGTCATTTACTCAAAATAAAACATGAATTTGAAACCAAGTCCAGCTTTGGCATCGTAATTTTCCGGCACACTTCATAGTTGTGAGAAAAAATAGCGATATTCAGTTTTTGAACAAGAAATGCAATTTTATTCATTACTAATTCTATTTCGCTTTGTACCTTGTCTGTATCGTCGTAGATGAAGGGTTTATGAGGGGAAAATTTCTTTCCTTGTTGGTGTTTTTTCTTTGATCATCTTCAAATTTCATCTTGTAAATTACTACAAAATGTCAATCAATTTCAACTAGCAAATGTAATTTTCAAGATACATGTTAAAATTTGACTGAAATAAAACATTTGTTAGATGTAAAAATAAGTTGACAAAATGATGGCATTTATACAGCTGATAATAAGAACCAAATGTTAGTTTTGTGTTTTGTTTTGTTTTGAGTATAAATAAAAAAAAAATGGCAGTGTAGTCTTGCCATGTTTTTCAATTCTCACTATTATTTTAATTAGTTTATATATATTATGTACTGTACTATTATTTTATACAATTTATGTAATGATTTTCAATTTTTCTATAAGGGACAACGAGGTTAATACAGTACATGTAGTATAAATTGAGGAATACGTAGACTAGTATTTTCTTTTTACCTCCATCACTATGTACATTTACTGTATTTATCAGTCAAATTTGTTATGTCACTGTATTTCACTAGTGGCATTTGATAATTATTTAGTTTTATAAATAATTTTAAAAGTACAGCCATGTTTGATTACAATTTTTGTCTAGGTATGGCATGTAGAAATTGACAGACACTTGGTTACCGGTACTTGTACTATGCAAAGTTTTGTTGAATTCTGTTTTTTTATAGTAACAGGAAATTTTGTTTTCTTTACAGTCACCAAGGAAATCTGTAGATATACATATAATTGCTGTGTCCTGTGTTTGCATTGTCATGGCTAAAGTTCAACAAGTGTGTAAGGTTTTGTTTGAAAGTGTAAGTATTGTTCTTGATCACCCGGTAACTGCCTATCATTTTGGGGGTTGCCCCTTCTCTACAAAAGTCTGGAATTTCTGCTAAAATTTCTCATTGAACGTGTAAAATTTATTTGCAACATTACTGAAATGTAAAAGTTGCACTTTTTTTGTTGGTATAGCGTGTGGTAACCGTATAAAATGTCTGGAGAATTAGCATATTCTCATTAAACTTGTAAATTTATTTGCAACATTACTGAAATGTGGAAGTTGCACTTTTGTTGTTGGTATAGCGTGTGGAAATTGTATACAATATCTGGAGAATAAACATATTCAGTTTAGTATAGTAGCGTGCAGCCAGCCAATCAATGTCATAGTTACCCACTATCGATGGAGGTGAAATCTAAGCTGAAAATCCAGACTATTGCGGAGAGAGGTTGCCTACAGTATGATTGAAAAGTAACCAGGTGACTTTTTTGATTAAAACAATAGCATTTTGCCATTTGCTAAAACGTTTATAATCCAGTGAGTCTAACTAGAACTCACAGCTTGTCATCTGTCTTTAGGGGTCTGGAAAAAGCAATATAAAAAGCATAATTGTTTATTAAATTTGTCCAACAATACCGGCTACCTTGGTGTGGTACAGTTATAGCGCCATCACCTTAAAATAGGGAGGTTGTGGATTTAATTGTCTCAGCTGACTGTCCACTCAGCAGTATAAACTGGAGTGCATTCTGCCTTGAGCACCAAACTTATGGTATTAGATTTGTGAGAAGAATGCTCTATTAGACGAGGACAATTGAAATTAAAAGTCCCATGTGCTGTTCCTCTCCACAGTTTACATTAACTATTTGAGCGACATTGTCAATTTTTGGCACCATCTACAAAATGATATTGTATCGTCTACTTATCCCCACATGAAATATTGATTAAAATTGACAAACCTTTTGGTCAAAAACTATAAAGCAATATCAGAAACTGTCTGTATAGCACAAAATGATGATGAAATTTACTGAAAATTTTACAAAATTTGAAAATGTTTGCACAGAATTTTGGGCGGAGAAAATTCTGAGACTCACAGGGTTAAAAGGACTTGTGTGTCTTCATCACAAAGAGTAGCAGGTTTATTTCCGTGGGATAATTGTACTTTTCACTCATGTAAGCCCTGAGCTTGGCTTCCAAATCTGACTTGATCTGAATACTGTAAATACTTTATTTTTGCTTGGAATTAATTTTCACTGAAAGAATGATTCAGTGCAAATAAATTCCATAGAAAACACCCAAAAAGTCTTTTCAGCGAAAATTTATTCCAGCTAAAATAAAGTACTTTACAGTATAATAAAATAAACACACTTAGTATTGTTTTAAAACACCTTATGATTGTATATCTAATACAACATTGTTGGTGCTTTCCCTACAGGCTCATCAGCTGGTAGATCTAACTGGTTGGAGTCTCTTTATGAAAGTCACTCCTCGAAACAGTCCATCAGTTTACTGCGGTACCACAGACGTGGTCAATAAATACCAAGATACAGGTTTGAAGTACGAGGATGGAGACCTAGATGGCAGTGTTGCTAGCGAGACTGACATTTTGAAATTATTGGGAGTATGCAAAACTGTTGAGGCCTCGTCTCCAGTTATGGTATCAGGTAGGTAATTTTGCCTGATTAAGGTAGAAGCCTGCTCATAATTTTTGAGAGTCACATGACAATGTTCATTGGTTTATTATGTAAAATCATGGAGCTATTGTTTCAATTGAAATGTGTGTCAACATGACCTTTTTTGGGACAATTATTTTTCGTCAAATTTTAAAACCCAAATTTTTTCAATAATTCAGGACAACATAAAGTATCCCATTATTTACAATACTGTACTTCCCCGAGTATAAGCCCCTTCTCTAGTATAAACCCTCCCCTCTGTTTTTAGACATTTAACAAGTTGAGGCATCCTCGAGTATAGGCCCAGGGTGTTTTTACCGCGCGACGACAACATTTATTAAAATATGTATGTAAAAAGTGTATTTCATTGCATAATAATCGTGATTGGTACAGTAGTTTAGTTCCTGCTTTTACGAAAAAACTCGCATTAATTTCAGAGTGCATGGCCGGCGAACGTGCGGAACATAAAACCTTCGTGAATGGGATGTGAACGAGAAAACTATTCTTTGACATGACTTGTTGGCAACCGTGAAAAGTTTAAATACTTCCTGCTAATTGCAAATCAACAGCTTTAGGGAAAAAAATCACCGTTTTTTGTCAAAATCAGATCGCATTTTAACATCACGGTAATTCACTTCTGCATTGCGTTGAAAAAATTACTTCGTCAATAATCAGAAAACTTTGTCTGTACATTTTGGTTGGTTAACGAATGACGTGAGGTCAAAGGAAGTTGTTCAGGTCAAATCATGATGAAAAACACCATGGCGAAAATTGCTTCGTATCGAGAGTTTGCGTACGATCGAAAACATTCCACAACGAAGATGATGATAAAGATCTTACCTTCGACAGTGTTCCCACAGACCCTATCCATTTTTGCACCGTAAATTCAGACCGTATGTAAACCGTATTGTAATAAAATATGTGTATTTTTATGAACATATTTGTTTCTTCATTGTAAAAAGTGATGCCGGAAATCAAAAAGACGTAATCTTTCTCCGAGACCGGCGCTGTGAACGAAAAATGTAATTTGGATAATTGATAACCCACCCCCTAATTTTCCCGATTTTACATGTTCAGGCCCCTGGGCTTATACTCAGGGAAGTTCGGTATATGACTTTTTTCAGCTTAATTCATCAGCCCACAATTTAAGATATGACATAATATCTCTGGCATAGGAGCCTATGTTAAAACCGTTAGAATACTGCCAAAATGGCAGCCATTAACTAAAATACAACATATTTGTTCGAAATAATTAGGCTGATAACCCCTACTTTTTTACAAGTCAATATCCTTTTATTACAATACAAGTACGGGAGTTCAATTTATTGCAAAATGAATGAATTCTGGGTATTTCCATCTATGAGTAGGCTTCTACCTTTACTGTGTGCATCCTTATACAATGTACCAGCTTTGACGGTACAAATTAGTACTTGTCTATTGTTTACATACACAGACAACATTTGATTCATTTGTGAACATATCTAATATCGTAAAGTAATTGAGACCCCTGTTTCTTTGAGACTGACCCCAAATTATAAAGTCATTCATACCAGAAAACTTGAGAAAATACTATAAGCTGCTTTCTTACTTTATTACAAAAAAAAACTCATTATTTTAAGTCAGAAACAGTGACTAGCGAAATGGTTTTATTAATTAATTGTGTTAAGTAACTTTCGTGAATATTACAGTTATTTATAAATTCTACAAAGAAACATTTTTTAAGTATCAACCCACTGCATTATAAATCCTGCAATGAAATCCTGTCTTATCTGCCAAACTAAGATAAAACAACTACAGACATAGCTAGTTGTGAGGTTGAGGAAAATGATTACTGCGTTAATTTCTAGGACAAGCGTTGTTTTATATGAGAGTATCTAGACCGGTATCGGTTAGTTATATGTGAATGAATGACATGCTTGAATTTCAGTTTCAATGAGAAATAACACTTGATAATTTGCATGGCATAAAAAAATACTATAATGCATCCATTGGATTGTTTGGTAATTAAGTTTCTTTAAGATCGTTGAATTGAACATGGAAAATTTATAATGAAAAGTCATGACAATGAAAACATGAAGTTGAAAGCATCAACTGCACTGAAACAGTTATTAGGACTGAACCACGAAAAATGATAAGGTCATTACTACTGAAACACACAAAATACTGAGGTCATTAGTCTTGAAACACATAAAATGATGAGGTCATTAGTTCTGAAACCACAAAAATGATGAGGTGATAATCCTGAAAACCATAAGATAAAGAGGTCATTATTACTGACACACGTAATGATGATGAGGTTATCAGTACTGAAACACAAAAAAAAATATCAATAGTCCTGAAACCACAAAATGATGAGGTCGATAACACTCTACCAAATAAAATTATAAGGTGATAGTACTGAAACACATAAAATGATGAGGTCATTAGTACTCACACACGTAAAATGATAAGTCTAACTGATAGGGAATCCTATGAAAAGATTATTAATTTTATTTTTCAGATGAAGTTGTCCCCGCCAATCAAGATGAAGGAAGTTGTACACAAACTGATGTTGAAGACATTGTGACCTCACTTTCACCTGCCGAGGAGAATGCCCATGGTGATGTGGTAGTTTCAAAGATAGCAGAACTAGAGGGGGAGACATCGGAAGTGGTTGACATGGTGGCATCAGAGACAATAACGTCAAAGGCAGTTGCTTCAGAGGCTGAAACATCAGTTATTGGACCAGATATTCAAGAAGGATCTGGTCACTCTCCCCCCAAAATATCTGATGACAGTGAAGCTAATAAACCTGATAAAGATCTCCAGACTGAAAAACTGTTAGCAGCCTTAGGAGAAATCCAAGAATCATTGCTTAGTGCTAGCAGTACAATTGATGCCGACTCTTCAAAGCAAAAAATATTATCAGCTTTAGGAGAACTTAATGAATGCTTTTTATCAGCAGAAGTTTCTCGTGTAGATTGTCGGAAACCTGACGTGAAGCGTCTTGGTAAGAGGAAGTCCCTTCCGAAGAAAGTAGTACAAATGCAAGATGATGATGCATCTGTCTCTGAAGATGCTGATGATGCAGGTTTTACAGATGAAGATGCAGATGCAGATGAGTGGTTTCCTGAAGCAGAGAAGACAAAAAAAGGTCCAAGGAAAAAGAAAGTATTTGAGACCTCTGCCTCTAAAGTTGAGGAAATTAGTCCACCTAAGAAACCAAGAGGAAGACCAGCGAAGGTTGCAGGAGAAATTAAGGTCAAAAGAGGTAGAGGCAGGCCGAGAAAGTATCCAGATTGCTTGGTGGAAGACGTTGATGGAACGAAACAGAATGACAAAGATGAGGCTACAGAAGAGATTGGAGGAAGGAGTTTGCGACTGAGAAGAGGACGACCTCGATTATGCCAAGATGGGTCTGATGATACAGAGGGGAATGATGGAGAGAAAGTGAAAGCCAAAAAGAACAAGCTTCGTTATGGATGTAGTATGTGCGGAAAGTCTTTTGCAGGCATCACAAATTTAGAGATTCATTTTCGAACACACACTGGTGAGAAGCCGTACACATGTGATCTTTGTCCAAAGTCATTCAATGCACCCATCAGTTTTAAGATTCATCAACAGACTCATTCGTCAAACAAGCCATACCAGTGTGAATTGTGTGGCAAGACCTTTAAACATGCCAATTCTTTAACATCGCATAAAATAACTCATACCAAAGAACGGCCATATACATGTAAAGTATGTCACAAAGGTTTCACTCAGACGGGAAGTTTGAAATCTCACATGCGGCTTCACACTGGGGAGAAACCATATCAGTGTGAGCAATGTGGGAAGTCCTTCGCGCAGGCTAATGGGTTACGTACTCATAAAATGACACATACAGGAGAAAAGCCCTATAAATGTCACCAGTGTGAGAGGGCTTTCAACAGTGCTTTTAAGTTGAAATCCCACATAATGATACATACTGGGGATTTTCCCCATCAGTGTGATCTTTGTGCACGCCGCTACACCATGTTGAGTGAATTACGTAAACATGTACGAAAAAACCACCTAAAAGAGAAGCCGTATCTCTGCGACATATGTGGCAAGAGTTTTGGTGATAAGAACACTTTAGGCCATCACAAAAAAATTCACTCAGGTACGAGGGATTATCATTGCACAAGTTGCACCAGAAGTTTCTATGCAAGCTCTGCTTTGAAGAAACATATGCGAACTCATACTGGTGAGAAACCATTCTCGTGCACTGTGTGCTTGAAGTCCTTTAGCCGTGCCGATAACCTCAGATCGCACATGAAAATACACAGCAGCGCTGCCGATGGAACGTCTACATCTACAAGGAAACAGTCTGATGCCACAAAGCTATTCCACTGCAGTATTTGCACTCAGGCATTTACGCGAGCGGCACTCCTGAAAAAACATGATGAACAGTATCACAGTGGAGGTGGAGGTGAAGTAGCAGCCATGACAGTTACAATTCCAGTACCAAGTGGTTACATGA